GGGTGCATTCAGATGTGGGGTTTCTTGTGTTTGTTTTCCTGGTTGTAATGCTAGCACTTCTGTTCCAATTTCTAATGTTTCTTTTATGCTGCATTACCTGTTGTGTTATGGAAATGTGGCTTTTTGATCAATATACCACCATGTCACGGTAAATTTCATTCAAACCAGTAGGTGGTGTGTGACACAGCAGTAGACGCCACTGGACATGTCAACACCCTTTATGTATATGTGTGCTTCTGTTCCCCTGTGATTCACCATGAAAATGGTGCGAAATAATTAGATGCCAGGATTTTGCCCCAATTTTCAATTTTCAAGATTAACAGCCTTATAAAGGGATTTTTTTATTTCTGGAAACAACACAGAAATAAAGCACTAAACATCCACTAGATTCCTAGAATTTTTTTAAATGTCATGTGAAAGAGCACATAAAATGAAAATTATCAGGTAGGGAAAAGTCAGGGAAATGAAATAAAGCACAATGCAGGTTAAATCTCATCTCATAACCAGGACTCCTTGCAACCAGAGTCCATCGTCTCCCATATAAGTTAATGAGCTCATTAATGTCTTTTGGGAGTGCTCTCTTTCACACATGCACCAACACCAGAATTCTGTTTGGGTCTCAGAAAACAGCCTTCTCTGGAGCTGTGTCAAAGCTTTGGTACTTCCTTGGTCAGCCCATCTCACTCACTCTTTGATGACCTTGACCCCCCACCCAATACCCTTTCGTGAGAAAAATGCACATAATTGCAAGCTATCAGAATTATTTTCATATTGATCTGTGTACCTGTGTGTTATGTACAGAGTATTCCTAAATTACCCTAGTCTGATCAGTCATAGCTTTACCATTGTACCATTGTACCTAAGGGGTGTGGGAAACAAATTGTCAAGCTAAAAATAGCAGCATCAGCAGCACCCCGGAACACAAAGAGCAGCAATCACAATCAATACATTAAGAAGCAGGAGAATCCAAAGCTTGTTTAAAAAGCAACAGGCATGAGAGCTGATTGTAAAGGAGGGGCAGATTCACAGAAGAGGAGATAGTCCTTGAAGTAGCTTGGTTGCCTAGCTAGTTAGGGCTTTATAGGTAATAGCCAGCACCTTGAATTGTACTTTTCAAAAAACAGATTTAGTACAGTTGATTCATTAAGATGATTACATGATCCCAGCACTTTGCCCCAGTCAAAATAGCTAGTTTACATTTCTGAGTGGTTTTCAAGGACAGCCCCACCATGAGCAAGTTGCAGTAGTTTGAACTGACGTGTAACCAATGAACCTAGGACACGGATTGTAAACCTTTTGGGGCCAATGAGCACATTTGCATTTCAGAGAAACTGTCATAGGCAACACACAAACATGGCAACCATGCACACACACACACACAAACAAACAAACACATGTATAGGAACCATGCAGACACCACTTAGGAGTGCCTTCTATTGTAGGGTTACCAGACATTGCCGGTTCCCGGGAACAGTCCCCAGATTTGCAAATCTGTCCCCAGACAAATTCCGTCCCTGGAATGTCCCCAGATTTGCAAACCTGTCCCCGGGAAACATGGCAGCGGTAGACTCAGCAGCCCAGAGGCAGCCTGGTAGCGCAGTTGACTCTGGCTGGCTTCAGGAGCTGCTCGCTGCCGCAGTGCCCACAATTTTTCCTCTCCGGAAGTCCCCGTATGATGTATCTTGTGCACAACACATCATATGGGGACTTCCAGAAAGGAAAAATGGCGGGCGCCACGACCGTGAGCAGCTCCTGAAGCCAACCAGAGCCAACTGCGCTACCAGGCTGGCTCCGGGCTGCTGACTGCTGCTGCTGCCACCACTGCCAAAGGGGAACTGGGGATGTCTGGCGGTACAGATCTCCTGCCCCCTGCCCCCTTTGTTTTGACTGACTGGGGGAGGCTCGGGAGTTGCGGATGGGCAGCTGTTGCCCAGTTTTTAAAAAACTCTGCGCACTTATGTTTCACAGGGTGCGAACAAAGGGCTTTGCACCTTTATACAATATGCATGTGTGCTTGCACCCAGGGGTCTTTTGCCTCACCATCCCCACCATCCCTGTTGCTACTCAGCTTTAAAAAAAAAAAAAAGTGTTCCCGGATTCATTGAAAAAAATCTGGTAAACATATTCTACTGGAGCCAGTAAAATGATGCTTTGAAGCCTAAGTGCGGTGGGATATGTGTGTTATGTTGCAGCTAAGGAGAAACAGGTTAGCTGATTACCCTCAAATTGCCCTCTGGCATTGCAACAAGGCCTCAGAAAACCCCACCCTTCTATTGGCTCCAACAGAAGGTTTATTTATTGTGGTGCAAGAGCTGCTTTTGGCAAAGAGGGATCCACCCCCCAAAGCTTGAATAAAAAACCTTCTACTGGCTCCTTTCAAGCCTGATTTCAAGGGGGGCAGTTCAAATGAGATTCTGCAGGCATGAGGAAAGGCCTCTGTGGGTGCATGTGCAACTGTAGGCAGAACCATACCAGGAATGGGTGCATTAGCCAAGGCTGGGGAAAAGCACTCTTGCCTACAGCTACCTCATGAGCATCTAGGAGAGGTCCAGGAGTACTCCTAATCTATGAACCTAGTCACATACACATACAGTTTAAACACTTTATCATACTACAGGTATATACATATACAGGTATTCTTGTTGTTTAGTCATTTAGTCGTATCCGATTCTTCGTGACCCCATGGACCAGAGCACACCAGGCACTCCTGTCTTCCACTGCCTCCCGCAGTTTGGTCAAACTCATGTTTGTAGCTTCAAGAACACTGTCCAACCATCTCATCCTCTGTCGTCCCCTTCTTCTTGTGCCCTCAATCTTTCCCAACATCAGGGGCTTTTCCAGGGAATCTTCTCTTCTCATGAGGTGGCCAAAGTATTGGAGCTTCAGGATCTGTCCTTCCAGTGAGCACTCAGGGCAGATTTCCTTAAGAATGGATAGATTTGATCTTCTTGCAGTCCATGGGACTCTCAAGAGCCTCCTCCAGCACCTGGAGCAGGAACTGGCAAGCCACTCCATTATCCCTGGCAAGAAAACTCTATGGACAAAAACAACAGGCATACAGGGATTGGTGAATGGTAAAACCCATGGAGAATGTGGAGACTCCCCTCCACAAAAAGATCTATCTAACTTGGGTGAATAAGCAACCAAATGGCAAATGAAGTTGAATGAAAGCAGGTGTAAAGTGATAAACATCAAAGCAAAAAAACCAACCAAGCAAAACCTCAATATCACAAATAAATGGGGTCTGAATATGTGGTAATCTTGGAAGCATGGTAGATAGTAAATTCCATGATTTGGATGATTAGAAAAAGGTTTGGGGAAAAACTGTTAATAACATAATGCCCATATGCAAATCCAACATGCAGCCACATTTGAAAGACTTCATGCTGATGGACTTGAGATTTCTTACCTTTCAGATCTTGTCTAGTAATGAGATCTACATTTTCCTTTTCTTAAAAAGCCACTTCAATCACTGCACACAGTGCAGAAGAAGTGAGTAGTCTATATTCTTCTGAGAATTAAAACTTGGGGCAATAACTTTGGATTCAATGAAGTTCAGCTTTGATCTTCTTTGTATATATTTAGCAGATATATTTGCATGCCCTAAAAATGAAAAAAAAGGCCTATTGAAAATGAAACCCAAATTGTATATGGTACTGCAAGAGTGGGATACATAGCTTGTGAAACAGTTTTCGGATTGTAAACATGTGGTTTAAAAAGTGTGGCTCTGGTTATCATGTCCTTTGGGTTTACAGGGGAAGTGGAAGCAATAAACAAAATATCTTCTATGTAGGTCACGTCAGGTCAGACAAGGTCCAGGCAGAGTCAGATCAGGCAAATTCCAAGTACTGGAAGTCAAAGCAAAGCCACAGCAAGCCCTGTTAAGCAGATCAGGACCCTGGTCAGTTCCCAGAGGACTCCGCTGACTGGGGCTTAATCCAAGTCCATAGGCACTAGCTTCTTTTCTGCAGGTAGGACAGAAAAGTTATTGGTCATCATATTCTTAGTCTGAGGAAGGTGGGAGAGCTATGTTCTCAGGCTGGGAGGGCCCAGTGGCAGCTGTTGGTGGTCCCTTTTCCTGAGCAGAGCAGCTTGTATTTCCTACTCACCTAGATATTTTTCTCAGGATAGTATGAGGAGCCACAATATACATCAGGAAGCTTAGTCTGGTCAGAAATGAGTGTACACTTCCAGAGATAACACTAAATACATTACTTCTGGTAGATGAGCCACCATAGCTACTAGAGGGCTGCGGAAATTTGTGTCCTGGGCTTTTTAGACTTATCTACCCATGTACTCTCTGAAACCAAATGGGTGCATTGGTTGCCAGATGTGAAATTTTCTTCAGTTCTCCTATCGCACTATTTCCACAAAGGCTAAATGGAGAACAAAAGATATGGGGTCTACATATCTGGGTGGAAGGGTGTCAGTTGTATCTTTCATATGGAACAGAAAATGGAATCTTGTTTTGGCAGGAGTTGAATGTTGGGGGTAAAGTGTAGATCAGGCCTGCACAACTTGTGACTCACGGTGCTGAATGCAGCCCAACAACCACATACAGAGGCCCATCAGGGGACTGATGAAGCTCCTTGTTCAGCAGTCTGCCTGAAACTACGAAATCAGGTCCCTCATCCAGCCCCTGGTGGGCCACAATACATGTCTGCTGCCGGGTTGTGTTTAGACTGGTGGGTTGCATATTGTGTAGGCTGATGGAAATTGCTTTCTGACCACTTTACCAGGAGATAGCTTCATTTACAAACAGTTAAGTGGAATTGACTCAGTAAATAAAAAGGGGAGATTGCTCACATCTATAATGGCTGTAGGAAATGCATGGCTTTAGTGTGTGTATAGGAAGGAATCTACACCCTTTTTATGTTTTCCAAGCCTTTCTCTCACTCCATCAAGCAACCAGCCCTATAAGCTTTCTCTTAACAGTTGAGAAAGGGGGTTCTGCCAGCCTTAGCTGTCTAATTTAAAAGAGGCCAGGCTTGCTCCCAACCGAAAGCCAACACCAATCCCACTTCTTCTGCTTTTATATATATATATATATATATATATATGCAGAAGAAGTGGGATTGGTGTTGGCTTATATATATATAACCCTGTTAGCTTATTTGAGGAGTGGAATGAAATGTTCCTGCTGACCTTTCCGCTTTAACAGAGCAACCTTACACACAGAAAGAACAGAAAAAATGGTTTTGGTCACCATTGTGAGGTAGGAAGGTAGAAGGAGGTCACAGAGAGACTTTGCGTCTTGCTTGGAAATCCTCAAAATGCTGTGTCTGGCATAAGCCCCGGGATCTGTCACTTCTAAGCTTCGTCCTTCCACTCTATTTTAACTACAAGCCAATCATTAGTAACTATGCAGGCATCTGTGTGCTGAATCTGGCAGGGACAGAGATGCAGATGAGGACTTCAGTAGTATCAGCAAGTTTTTCCCCTGACAGAAATTGACACTGTCTGGAGTCTGGTGGGGGCAGGGAGTGAGGCATTTTCATTGTGCGTGTAGAAATCTATGAATGGCGCCTTCCCCACTCCCTCCCACAAACCCCGTTCCATGCTCCCACCTCCATTTTTAATTAAATGAATAACAGAGAGAGCTACACATATATAAAATAATAATTTACTGATTATCATGGGTTTTTAAAAATAAAATAAAAAAGACTGGAATCCTCACTGTGATGTGATGTTGAATCCTCTCATTAATATCATGTCACTTTTGTTGCCATGGTTACAGGAGCACCAGTTGCTAAATGTGAACCATCAGATATAGAGGTGGGGGAAACCTAGAAAGAAAGCTGAGGCAGAAAAATGTAGAGCAGAGTAAATTTGACATCATCAGGTAAAGGAGTGGAATGGAGAGGGTGGGAGATGGGGCAATACAACAAAATAATTCAGGCATATTATGTTATAAAAGCCACACGATTTCAACACATTGGACATCAACAACAAAAAGTGAAAATCGACACAATGGCTAGATAAAAGACAAGAGCCTGGTTGATACAAAAGATTGAGGCATTGGCTATGTGCACACATATTTTATTGAAGAATCAATTGAGAAAGAGTACTTGCTTTTTCTACATATTTATCACACAATCTAGAACTGTTATACACTTTTTGACACTGAAAAACACTTCTTGAGAAACTGGTTTTATTCCCCTAAATAGAGGCTTATTGCAGATTGACTCTGCATTACTGCACAGTGTGTCCATTTGAACACAGGTCCTGGTGAAGTGTGTGGGTGCGGGTGTACCCACACCTGCCCAATGACGTTGTGGTTCAGTGTGTACCAAGTTTCTTCTTGTGCCCAGTTTACACAATGGACGTTTATGAGAAATGAGGAGCTAACAATGTTGGGGGTGGGGGGTGGGATTCCTGCCCAGAAACATGGTTCAGACAGCTTTTTTTCTTTCTATTTATAATTTTCAGAATTCCTGACAAATCAACAAACACAAGCAAAATAAATTTAAAATAAAGAAAAGAATGCAAAGCTCCTTAAAGTCAGCTTAAAATTCCTCCAATGCTTTGACATTTTATGATACAGTTCTACAAAATATATTATTACATTGAGGCAAAGTCTCCCATATGAAAAACAGAAGGGGAAGAATCTGTAACTTCTTAGGCTATAACTCTATCATGTGTTTTTACAAATTCATATTTAGATGGAAGCTGCAGAAGGGTGCCAAGCAAACTGTAGGTTCAGATCTTATAGAATGAAATTGCTGAATTTGCTTTGTTCTGGGAAAACTGTATCTAATGCGTACTTTTCTTCCATAGCAGGAATACTGCAGAAGAACCACTGATAATGATTTTATTCCACAGCCTTACATCCTTCACCCATGCAGCAACCAATGGCAAGAAAATTAATTCTTTATCTAAGGCATACAACACCATTTTAAGCCACTGCATTTAAAAAGAGAAGCAGGAGATATCTAGGGATCTCTGCACCTGCAGTGCTTCCAGTACATGCTACCACTATCTCCCAGAAATACTACATTAATTGACATTTAATGGACATTAATTGGCATTTCCAGTACATGAAACCACCATGTCACAGAAGTACTACACTAATGGACATTTGCATTAAAGATAGAAGTAGGTACTCTGCACCTCCACATCTCTCCACATTTTAGTCTAGACAGTGTGTGGTAACACCTTGTAATAGTCTTGCCTCCATTCTTCATAAGCCTTCAGACCAAAACTTCCTACCCAGGCCCATTTCTCAAACCTTTGTGTACCTTGGAAATGTGGAAAAGATGCCTTCAGTATTTTATATGTTTACTTTTTCACATGTTCACTGAATGCATGGAGTGGAGAAGGAGACTGTGCCTCCTGTCTATATTCTGCACCTCCATGCAGTCAGGATCCCTGCAGAAGGTAGGAACCTCGATTGCATATATAGTGCCTACATCCTTAGATTTGCAAGCTCTGTTTGGAGTATGGGGCACAGGAACACCAAGAGAATAGCCATTTTATCCTGTGTTTGCAGGCTGAAGATATAAAGGCAGATCAAAGTACTATGAATGTGCTATCCACGGTCTCTTTGTATCGGCATCTGTTTCTGCTGTACCCTTGTGCCTCTTCACATATTTCCCTGTACAGTTGCTACTGCTGCAGTTGTCTCCTCTTCTTCTGATAGAACCCCACAGAAGAAGAATAAACCTCTTTTCTTTCAGGCAACGAGTTGCAGCGTGCTTTGTTCTCAACCAGAGAAGGAAGAGAGAGTCATAGTGACCAAGCTGGAAGGGCCAGGCCACAGGGGAGGTCTGAACTTTGGCCCTCTGGCGGATTTCCATGGGAAAAACCTGAGGCAAAACACACTACAGTGGTACCTTGGTTCCCAAACTTAATCCATTCCGGAAGTCCGTTCCAAAACCAAAGCATTCCAAAACCAGAACACACTTTCCCATAATAATGCAAAATGGATTAATCCATTCCAGACTTTTAAAAACAACCCCTAAAATAGCAATTTAACATGGATTTTACTATCTAAAGAGACCATTGATCCATAAAATGAAAGTAATAAACCAGGCTGCAACCTACTACCCAGTATCAAAAACTGGCAGTGATCTACCTATTGTCATTGGAGGGACGAGGAGCACATGAAGGGGGAGTTCAAGTGGTGGGGAGGAAAGAGAGGCAAAAGTTCTCTCTCTGAGGAGCCAGTCGGTTTCTCTCTCCCCCCCTAAAGCTGCTCTCCCTGCCCCCCAAGCTAGCCCTTCTTGATGCCCCCCCAGCACCCCTTCCTCACCTTCTTCAGGGCTGCCACGAGTAGCCCCCACCACTTGGGTGCGATCTCCTCACTGAAGAACGCATACTGCAGCAGCAGCACCTGCCTCCTGCCCACCCCATCCTGCACCCTGTGAGGGGAAGCGGCGGCAGTCGCTGCTGGGGCTGAGCTGCTCAGCTTTGCTCTGGGGCCTAGAGCGGTGGCTGTGGATGACACCCAGTACCAGAGGAGGGGGTGGTTGCTGCAGCGGCCGTGGCAGGGGACCCAGTGCTGGGGGGGGGGTGGCAACATCCCTTGTCTGCTCGCTTGCCACCTGGCCCTGCCTTCCCTCATGTCGCTGCCGCCCCCCCCCCCAAGCACTGGATCCCTCCGCCGCTGGTACTGCAGCATCAGCCACCCTCTCCTCTGATTCCGGGTGTCATCAGCAGTGGGGCTGAGTGAGGGAAGGCCAGGCGGCAAGTGAGCAGGCAAGGGATGTCACCGCCCCCTGGCGCTGGGTCCCTTCGCTGCCGCTGCTGCTGCCGCTGCCACTACAGCAGCAGCCACCCCCTCCTTAGGTTCCAGGTGTTGCCTGAGGCCCTAGTGCTGAGTGAGGGAAGGCTGGGCCAGGAGGCAAGTGAGCGGGCAATGGAAGTGTGGCATTCAAAATGGAAGTGCAACACTCAGAACGGAGCACGTTCGGATTCCGGAAAAAGTTCACAAACTGGAACACCTACTTCCAGGTTTCTGGCATTCAAATTCCAAGTTGTTCATGAACTAATCTGTTTGAAAACCAAGGTACCACTGTATATGTCTAGGTCTCTTCTATTCTTCCAAATGCCCTGCCCACAGTATTTGTTTATCTTGGCTAGTTTTTGTAAGGAACTGCATAAAAGACCAAAACGCTGTTGGATCAATTTTCTTCTTTTGTTCTTGCATCTCTCCTTTTCTGATCCTAATTTCTGCTTTGATCATTGGACCAATTTTGACCTAAGCTCCTGCTTGGCATATACATAAATATCTGCACTGAGATATTTGTGGAGAGGGAATTAAAGAGCGCTACGCAGATAAGGTGTGTTAAACTAATCTTCTGTGTGTTAACTTTTAATTTCTCTCATGCAGGGGAAAGAAATTAAAATTCAACTTTGAATTGCCTCCGGTATTTCTTCTTACGTAATAATCCTGTTTCGCTGAAATAGAGACAGGTCAGCAATAGCTTCAGGCTCCTGAACAATCAGTGCTCATCTCCTAAAAACCTTCCCTAGGATTTTTCCAGCCACAACTTATTAAGCAATTCCCTGTGACAAGGAGTCAGGATAAAGCTGAATTTTCTTCCAGTTTTCCATAGGCATATTTGCGCTATTTACTGAGTGCACTGGGAGAAGAATGAGCATATTATTTTTACTGATCTTTTCCTTTGATTTAGAAAAGTACACACTGAGAAGCAATCCTAGCTTTAAATCAGATCTGAGCATAGTGATTGTCTCTCCATCTTATTTGTTTCTCTGGTCAAGTTTCCTCAGTGTTATCAGTGAAGTGCATAGAATCAAAGCCGTAACACAGGTAGTCATCAAAACCTTGACTAATAATTTGCACTAATAATAATAATAATAATAATAATAATAATAATAAATACCGGCCTTCATCTGAAGATCACATGCCAGTTCACAACATAAAAATACAAAATGAAATACATTGGAGTTTCTGTTTAGGATTGTGTAGAATGGGTATCAAGTAGGAAAAGGATTTTTCTGCTTTACCACAAATAATCTAAATATATATTTTTGTTGTTGTTTAGTCATGTCCGACTCTTCGTGACCCCATGGACCAGAGCACACCAGGCACTTCTGTCTTCCACTGCCTCCCGCAGTTTGGCCAAAC